CTTGTATCTTTCACCTGCCTGGCAAGCACAAGGTCACGAGTTCAATCCTCAGTACCAAAACAAAAAAACAAAAAAACTTTCACCTCATGTGCTTATTTTTTGTGGTGTAAACATTTAAAATATACTCTCTAATAATTTTAAAATGTACACTGTGTTAACCATAGTTATCACGTTGTGCAGAAGCTCTCAAACATTTCTACTTCCTGTCTCAAGGAGGTACCCATATTTGACCAGCACTGTCTGCTTTGACCCTGCTCCCAGTATTTTGTTCTCTGCTTCTGTACATTCAACTTTTTTTAGGTCCCACCTAGGAATGAGACAACATAGTCTTTCTGTACCTGGTTTCCACCAACCACAACACTTTCCAGGTCCATCCACTTGGTCCTTTTTAAAGCCTGAGCAATATTCTGTTCTGTGTGTATGCCACCTTTAAAAAAATTTTCACAATATCTTTTTTTAAACGCCAGCACCATTTGTTAGAAAAGAAGAAAGTGATGAAATATCCTCAAATCTTTCCTTGAGAAATAAAAAATAAAAGAATAAAACAAAAAAAAACAAATAGAAGAAAATAATAAAGATCAGAAAATACAATCTCCTATCAAACTGCCAACATCATTTTTCATATAGATTAACATTTTGATGCTTACATGTGTGAGAATAGAAGAGAGTCAGAACAGTCTAAACAACTTCAATAAAGTAATAAAATTGAGCTCCAACCCTCCCCAACCCCATGATTTATCACAAAGTTACACCAATCATGATAAAACGGCACTGATATCAAGATAGACAAACCACCAAAGTACTAATATAAAGTCCCAAAATAGATACCCACATAACAGAATTTGATTTCTGGCAAAGATGCAAAAGCAATTATGGAAGAAAGGATTGTACCCTCAATAAATATATAGGAACAACTGGATATCCACATGCAAAAACCCCAAACCTTACAGCACATCAGAAATTTCTTAAGACATCCAAAAGTCAGCTCAAAATGGTTCACTGTGGGTTAGTTAAAGTGAAGGCAGGTGTGGCCTAAATTGTTGCTTAACTAAGATCATTCTCCCTGGGACAAAAACACATGTTTTTTCTTCATACTAATGAAGCAGTATGATATTTGTACATGTGTGACATTTCTTTCACTAATACGTATGTTTTCAGGGCGCATCATACGCTGCTTTTTAAAAACCTATTCATTCACGGATGGACACTTAGGTTTATTCCTCACTTGGCCATGGATTGTGCTTCAGTGAACTTGGAGTGCAGATGTCTCTTCTCCTGGATGTGCACCCAGTGGCAGGACCAGGATGGCCAAATCACTCAGGAGTTCCATTTGAAGTTTCTCAAGGGACCTTGTCTGCTTTCCCATATGGTGATGTTAGGTTACACCTCCACCAAGAATGTGTTCAGGATCTCTGCAACACTTGTGAAATTTCACCTTTTTATAATGGTCTTACTAATATGTGTCAAGTGTTATCTTACTGGTTTTAACTTGTGTTTCCCTGATGAATAGTGATGAGTATCTTTTCATAAGCCAGTGGGACATTTGGGTATCTTTTGGCAAACACCTATTCAGATCCTTTGCTCAGCTTTAAATCAGGCTATTTGTTTCCTTGCTACTGAGTTGTTTTCTAGACTTATGGTTATCTGAAAAATTTATTTTGTATTTCTTCCTGTAAAACAGTGTACAACTTTTTTTTTCCTTTTTATTGGTACTGGGGATCGAACTCACGACCACCTGCCTCCAAGGCAGGTACTTATGCCACTGAGCTAAATCCCCAGCCCCAGTGTATAACTTCTTTACTTTAAAACTTTATTTTGTATTTCTTTCTGTAGAACAGTGTATTACTTCTTAGTTGGCAAGTACTTTAAGACATTTCATTCTTCGGCTTTCACTGTTGCTGATGAAATTGTGCCCCGAGTCTAGTTGCTGTTTCTTTAGCATTATTCTTATTTTGTGGGTGGGCTCTTTTGAAGATCTTCTTTTTCTTTTAGGGGTCTGAAATTTCACTGTTTTACTTGGATATAAACTTTATCTTTATTATTTTAGTTAGTATTTGTTGCGTTCTCTGTGAGTACTTAGCTTTTACTAGTTCTGAAATATTCACCAGTACAATGTATCTAAACATTGACTCTTTCACTCAAACAGGCTTTTTCCAACTTTTTGCATGTTTTATGTCTCTTTTATATTTTTTAACTTTTTTATTTTTGTGGTACATTATTTTTCAGTGTGTGTGTGTGTGTGTGTGTGTGTGTGTGTGTGCTGTTGTGCTGTGGTTCAGACCCAGAGTCTTGCACATGCACCTGCACATGCTAGCCAAAGACACTCTCAATGAGCTACCTCTCTCCAAATTTGTGCCACATTCACAATAATTTCTTTAGATTTATCTTCCAGTTTATAAAATTGCTCTTGTGTCTAATTTGCTGCCTAACATACCTGCTGGTTTGTTTTTAAACAACAGTCTTATTGAGTTATAATTCACAGTTATAATTCATACAATTCACATAAATTTTTTCAAAGGATATACTTCAGTAGGTTTTAGTATATTTACAAAGTTGTGGTACTATCACTACCATCCCTCCCATTTTTTTGAGACAGTCTCACTCTGTAGTTCAGGCTGGCATCATACTCACTATGTAGGCCAGGCTGACCTGGAGCTAAGTAATCCTCCTGCCTCAGCCTACTGAGTACTGGGATCGCAGGCGTATGTCACTATACCCTGTCACTACCACTCATTTTTATAATTTGTTTGGAGACATCTGGAATTGCACTTTGTTGATGCCAGGTAAGTACGCTACCACCTTCTTTTATTTATTTTGTTATAGGATCTGACTAAATTGTCCATCTTGGCATTGAACTTGTCATATTCTTGCCTCAGCCTCTCTAGTAGCTGGGATTATAGGCCTGTACCATAGTACCCTTCTTAGAACATTTTCATCGCTAGCAGTGCCCACTAGCAGCCACTCTCCATTCCTCCCTCCCCACGGGTCAGGTGCCACTAATCTGTTTCTGACAGATTTTTAAATTCCAGTCATTTCATTATAACAAAAGGACATAATGTTTTTTAGGTGATCAGTTTCTTTCACAACATAATTCTTCTAAGGTTTCTACTGTTGTTTTCACTTCAGTGGAAAGTTTCTCATATCTGGAGGTTTTAATTTTTTTCAGATAAATGGGGTCAGCATGACAGTGCCTTACTCCTTTTAATATGTGTGTGTGTTTTTTTTTTGAACCAGGATCAAACACATGACCTTGTGCTTGCCATGCAGGTGCTTATGCTGCTGACCTAAATCCTCAGCCCCCTTTTAGTATATCTTAAACATATTAAACAGATTCATTTTGTATTCTATATTTTCTATATCCATCTTACATCTAACCCCTCTAATTTGGTGAGTTTATGCATATTTAAATATGTGGCTTGTCCTTGTTCTATTGAGTGTGACATTGGAGGCTTATTTCTTCAGCATCCTTGCTAATTTTGGGTTATGTTTTATTCAGCTGAACCCCTGGGAACCTCAGTCCCTAAGTTGGGTGTTGCTGACCTGGGCCACCTTGGTTCTCTTGGCAGGCTCAGATTCTTGCAGGAGCTCAAGCACTGGCCTACACACTTGGGATGGGTGTTGCAAATACTCCTCCAAATTCTCAACCACACGGCTGTGCTGTGCTGTAACTCTGTATGCCTGGTGTCCCATCTCTGTGTGCAGGGATCCATTCATGCTGCCTGCTGTGAGTGGATGGCAGATGTGAAGAGAACTTTGGGGAACAGCCCTCGATGACTCCTGCAAATTGCTATACAATATTACAGCTCCTCAGCCCTTGGGTGAGATCAACTCTGAGGCACACATTTCACGTCATTTTTAGGGTTCCTCTTGGGAAGGGATCCGGTGGTGATTTGCTCGTACCATGTTTTTACTGGCCTAAACCACCTCTCCCCACCCCTGGACCACTTCCCCACTCCTTGCAGCGGCTCCCTGAACTTCCAAATAAGAATCCTTGTCTTGTAAAAAAGCCAAGATCCAGGACCTCAGATCCATCACAGGTGTTAGTTCTGCCCAGGACACCTTTGGCTTCCACATCGTCCTCCTACTCAGTATGTATGCTTTGGGGTTCTACTATCACACTTACCTATTTATTTATGGACTCAGAAATTTCTCTTACCTTTTTCGTGCTTTAATAAGAAATGTTTCAGCTGTGACCTAGTTCTTGCCCTGTGCACCTCCTTAACTATAACTCAGAGTTCCAAGTGTCACATCTTCAAAGAAGTCTTCCTCACCCCAATGCAAACTGAAGTTCCCTTAGTGTCTCGCTTTGCCTTACTCCTCTGAAGCCATGAAGAGGAGTGGGGTGCACAGACGATGGACCCCGGCAGTGGGTGTGACCTCATCACTATACAGCCCTGAAAAGGGAGCAGAACCCTGTTGTGCATGTTGTCATCATCTGTAAGATGAAAATCATGGTAAAACCTGCACAGCAGGGTTGTTGGGAGACTGGACTGAGATAAAATACGTGTTTAGAACAGCAGAACACATAGTATGTGTTCTATAAATGTTAGCTAAGCTTGTCACATCTTGCAAAGATGTGTAAGTGAAAAGTCATTTGTGTATGTATGTATATAAGACTCAGGAGGCCAGAAACCTCTGTCTGTTTTCTCAGAGTTCTCCAGAGCTGGGCAGCTGGGCAGCGCCAGGTCACCAGTGGCACCTCATAAGGCCAGATGAACAAAGGCAGGCGGAAGAGGTCTGATCGCAGCTTGAGACTTACCTCGTGGACTTCAGGCATAATGACTGCAAGGACACTGAGCACCTGTCCAGGAGCCCCAGACCCGTTAGGGTTGTTTTCTCCAGGTGTGAATGTAGGTGGTGACAGAAGTCCCTGGGGTTGTGACGGCTGCGCTCGTAGGTGTCGTCGCGGATGATCTCAGGGGTAGGACTGCCTGGGACAATCGGAAGGGAAGATGATGCGCGCGCGGAGGGGGGGGGACCCCAAGGTCGGGAGTCCAAGCGGGAGGGGAGCGGTGAAAGGGACCCGCGCGGAGTGCCGCAGCCAGCCCTTCCCTCCCGCCCTTCCTGGCTGGGTCTTTGTGAGGTTTGCGCCTCCTCCTCCAGGAAACGTTCTTCAGAGAATTTCCAAGGAGACCTCAGCCAGGCGAGAGGGTTGGGGTCCTGTCCACCACCGTCAAGCGGAGGTGTGAGGTGGTGGGAGGAGCGGGGGAGGGGGGAGAGGCGGCGGGAGCGCGGGCAGGAGCGCGGGCCAGAGCGCGCAAGCGGCAAGGGGCGCCGCCAGGCCGGGGGCAGCGACCTGCGGGCCCTGAGCCCCGGGCGCTCTCCAGCTCCGCTGGTCTCCGCGCTCAGACCCCTCCCCTCCCCGGCTCTGCTCCGCCCCTCCAGCGGGGTCCGCGTCTGCGGCTGCGTTCCCCGAAAGACGAGGCTGCGCCCGGCTTTCGGTCCGCAGGGAGACCGAAGGGCACTGCTCCCCGAGCCGCGCACGCCGCTGAGCCCGGAGTGCGGACACGGTAGGGATGTGAGTGCGCCCCCTGACCCCGAGGCCTGCACTCTGCACCCCATCCGCGGTGAGCGCCAAGGCTCCCAAGCGCTGGGGGGGGAGGGGGACGGGGGGAAGGGGACACTCGGCGCGGGGTTCCCGATCCCCCATACCAGGGGTGGGGATGGGTGGGGGTGGGGATACGGTGCGCACCCTTCTCCCCACAGCAGGTGCAGTCCTCTCCTTCCTCTTTCTCCTACCCCTCTTCCTCCTGCCGCTCCTGTCTGGACTCACCTACAGCTTCCCAGGGAGGACAAGACCCCCAGACCTCCACAGGTGCTGGGTGAGGGGTGAGGGCACCGGGGTGACAGCTCGTCCGAGAGGACAGACCTTTTTCTCCCTGTGTGGATGCTGTGATGGTGGACACTCAGGGGGATGGGGTGGAGAGGGGTGGGGCTGTGCCAGTTCCTGGCTGACCCCCTTCTGATTCTTAGGAGAAGGTCGCATCCTGAGGCCAGAAAAGGGGAGGATCCTTGGGCTCTGCCGAGGACTGAGCTCCTGATTAGGACTTCTCTTCACTAGGCCTGCCCCCCAGAGGACCCCCGTCCACAGTGTCTGTGCCTACCCCAGGCTCGCGGGGAGCATGCTGCCTTCAGCCATGAGGGGTGTCGGGTTAGTGATACTGACCCTGCTACTGTGCCCCACACCGGGTGAGTTGATGGTGCGGAGAGAGGGCCTTGAGGTGGGGGCCATTCTCCCTTCAGTTCTATAAAGCCGGCCCCTCCAATACTGCGACCCTAGCTCAGTCTTGGCCAACTCTGTTCTGGTCACGGGTCTCTGTGGGCACTGGAGGCCATGAGTGCCTTTACTCAGGTTCTTGGTCCAGTGTGGATGCTCCTTGCCCCAACACCCTCAGCCCTGCCAGGCCTCCCACTAAGTCTTGGCCTGCCCTTCATAGCTTGGCATCCATCCACTCTGGGGGTGTGCTCAAGGTACAGAGGAAAGTGCAGGGGTCAGTCTGGCCTGCTCCTCCTTTTTCCTCTGGGCATAGTTCTGCCAGGATCCTGCAGCAGGTAGAGACTGAGAGGATGCAGGGCCTGGCCAGTTCCTCTGGTCATCCCCGTCCCATGCTGTGCTCAGCTCATGGCCTGTGGTGCCAGGACTGTACTCTGACCACCAACTCCAGCCACTGTAACCCGAAGCTGTGCTCGTCATCAGACACTGTGTGTGCCAGCGTCCGGATCACTGACCCCAGTAGTAGTAAGTTGGAGGCTGGATGGGTGGGGTTGCTAAGAGAGGGACTATGGGGGGAGATCAGATGTATTCTCTGGGCCTCTTGGCCTGCCACAGGAACATAGGCTCTGGGGTAGGACACTGTCCAGCTTGACCTTCCCCGGTTCTTGGTGACTTTTCCATGTAGTCCCCAGTTTTGGTGGGTTGAAGGCCTCAGTTCTCCTGACTTTGGTCCCTTGCTAACCCAGAAGGGCCTGGGGCCTGGGGAGGAAGCACAGGCCCCAGGTAGAGCTCCGCACCCCTTCTCCCCCAGGCAGGAAGGATCATTCTGTCAACAAGATGTGCGCCTCCTCCTGTGACTTCATCAAGCGCCACTTTTTCTCAGACTATCTGATGGGGTTCATTAACTCTGGGATCCTCAAAGTGGACGTGGAGTGCTGCGAGAAGGACTTGTGTAATGGGGTGGCTGCAGAGGTGGGCCACAGTGCCTGGGCCCTGGCTGTGGGGCTCCTGCTCAGCCTGGCATCTGCCTTGCCCTGGGCTGAGCCCAGAGCCCTGCCCTCTGCAGGGCTTTGAAGCTTGGTCCTGAACCTGACACTGCCCCTCCCTACCTGGCTTGGATGAGGCCTGGGCAGGGTTGCCCAGCAATGGGGTCTCTGCATCGCTCAATGTAAGACCACACTGCCTGTCCACCAGCACTGCATTGCAGGCAGCTGGACTTCTCCAAGGTGCCCAGGCAGGAGGCCAGGGGTGAGGGCAGGGGCCAGGTGCAACCCAGTGGCCTGGCCCAAAAGGCATCTGATTACCAAGAAATAAAGTCACTTCTGAGTCCTGAGGCCCTGGGTCTGAGCCTGGGTGTGGATATAGGGTGGGGCCTGGTGGGAAATTGAGAGCTGAGCTAGTAGACAATGGGGATGATGGAGACCACACCCCCCCTGCTGCTGGGTGCCATTGGTGTGTGGGTGTGTTGAGACACATGAGTGAGAGCTGGGGTGGATAGAACCACAGGGTGGGTTTGATGGAGAGGGGACAGTTGTATGCACACAAATACTAGAAGTGCACACAAATACAGCAGTGGGCACATATGCACAATAACCCAGTTTGTGTTCATTGTTACATGCTTAGGTCCAGGGCCATCTTCATAGACAGGCACTGCAACATTCCCATCATACAAGTGCTGGTATGTCCCCACGGACACTCACTCTGGGACACTCAGCATCCAGTGTGCCATGAACACTCACAACAGCTATGTGTGGTTCACAGGGATCTTGTTACTACCCCCACTCCTCTTCAGTCACTGAGAACGACAGCGCTACTACAGCCTGGAGTGAAGACTTCATGGGCCAGATCCTGCCTCCTTGCTGGATATTGGCCCCTGCATCCTGGTTGGGGGAATATTGGGCCATTTCCTGGACTTAGACCTAAGGAGGCTGAACCCATGTGGGTGGCACAATTGGTGAGGAATGGAGACCATTCCAAGTAAACTGGGCTACCTGCCTGATCCTCTGTGCAGCTATGAGCCTCTGTCTCCAGCCCTGGTCCCCGCAATGATGCTGCAGGATGACTTGCCCTGTGACCCTTGCTCACTGTCAGGTGCTCAGTAGACATGCTAGGACTTCTCTGAGGCTGGTATGTTTTGCTGTTTGTGACTGTCTAGACTTACTGTCACTGCTGGGCCCTAGCCTTCTCAGATAAGGAAATGGTTCCTATGTAATCTGGTGTTGGCACTGCTCCCAGAGGCTCTGCAGGAGTGATGGAGGAAAGACAGGGTCTGGTGGACGAGAAAAGTGGGGCAAGGCCTCCAGTCCTCTCTGAAGCTGGATCTGCTTCCTCGCTGTGGACGTAGCCCAAGGTTTCCCCCTAGAGGTTTATCTCCTTTTTTGCTTGGATTCTGCCCCAATTTTGTGTCATGGGCCCCTCCTTTGCCTGCCCCACCATGACATTTTGGGGGCCTGAGGACCACAGCTACTGTAAGGGAGAGGAGCTCAATAATTCAGAAGGGAGACTGAGGATTGAGAGTTTGAGCCTAACCTGGGCCATTTAAAGACCAGAGAAGCCCTATCTCAAAATTAAAACAAAATGAAGACAAGAGGGTGGGGCTGGGGACATAGCTCAGTGTAAGGGTCTTACGTTTAATCCACAGAGATTCAGAGGTAACAGGAAGCTGGTGTGAGAAGCTCCTGAACTATGGAAGTGCCTGTGAGCCCTGGAGCTACAGAAAGAGAAAGACTGCTAGCCCCTGGGCAAGGGGTGAGCGCTGGGTCAGAGTCCACCCATGTTGTGGAATGCCCAATTTATTGTTTGAGAGAAGTATTTAAAAATAAAAAAGGAGTAAACTCCCCTTGCCTCTTTGAGGAATTACATAAAATTATAAGGGAGTGCCTCCTGCTCTTACCCTGAGAAGCTTCTGGGGGAGGGCAGCAGGCAGAGAGGGTTGGACCCCATATTTTCGCTCCGCTTTCAAGCCACCCTGTACATCTCTAGGAGAACTTAAATTGATCCTGCCACCACAGATGGCCACAGAAGGGTTTGCTTGGCTGGGCCCCACAGCTGTGAGATGGACATTGTTCACTGGGTGGCCACATTAGCTGCAGGTTAACCCTTTTCACCAAGCAGCTCCTAGCAGCCTCCAGCCAGGCTGGATGTCTAGGTTGACCTTTTGTTCTTTGTCTCCAGAATGAGCCCACTATAATTTATGTAACTCTTCCTTATTGGTGGGCATAGTGGTTTTCAGTCCTTTGACATCAGCATTTCTGAAGGAATGTCCTTGTTCTCCCCTCTCTATGAGTCAAGGTGAGCCTGAGAGGGAATCTGTCAAGGACGTAGATCCTTTACCGAGGCAGTCTACACTCCACCAATTCCTTATGCCCTGCCCAGTGTTGGATATGATCCAGCTTCAGGAATTCATGCCCATCTGGTAGAAGAAATCATTTCTGTTGGAGACATTATTGGTGGGGCGGAACATCCTCTATGTTTGAGAGCCACTGTGTTCCTTCTGGTCATAGTTTCACCCATTCCCTTCCTGGCCCTGCCTTGTTCTTCCTATTAGGTGTGACTGACCCCTTGTATCAGAGCTCTTCCCATGGTGTGTTTGGTGAATGCTTCTTTCAGTTCTCTGAGATTGGTTGCAGCAGAATATGATGGTTCTAGAATGGTTTTGGGCTTCTTACTTTGGGAGACCTACCTCTGCCCTATACTAATAGTTTCTGTATGTGCTTTTGGCATCTTTGCAGATTTGACTTCTGTATTCAGACATCAGTCCCTGTGTTTGTTCGTGGTGTGCCTGGACAGAGGGACTTGGCCCATGTGGCCACTTTTCTCAGTGCAGTTTGTTATACAATCTCACTTCCTCAGGGATTCAAGATGCTCCCTCCTCATGGACTCAAGAGCTCCGCCTGGATGACACAACATATTCCCACATATACCAGGATGCTCTGATGTTACCATGGGGATTCCCTGCTCAGAGGTTGTTGGTCACTGTGTTGCTGTTTTGGTTTTGGTGGCCTCACAACACCTCACAGATGGTAAAGTGCCCTTCCCCGACACCTCCATTGCCTCTCCCTCTCTAGTGCTGCATGTATCCAAGTGCCCCTCTGTTGGGATCTAATGGCGCTCTCACTCCTTGGGTCTGAAATGGGGATATGGGCTCCTTCCTGGCTGTGTCTCCACTCAGTGTTTTGTGGGTATCTGAGTGCAGTGTGTAGTCTTCACACGGGCTGGGCATCTTCTGTAGTATAGTTATTGCTGCGTAATTTATAGGTTTTGTGGTACTGTAAATTGGATTTCTCCTTTTCCTTTAAATTGAACTGGCCCTTTTTGAACATGGAAGCAGATATTTTTAACTTTCTAGATGACATTCATTTCATAAGTGTCTTGGTGACATTGATTTCGTAAGTGTCCAACCACATCTACTGATAAGGGCTGATCATTGTCTTGGAGGATCAACTGACAGGGCAGACAACATTGTGTCTCTCATCTTTTCGTGTCCAAAAGCCTACATGCTCCCACAAAGATGGAGACAGGCAGGAGCTGTGGAGGGTCTCTCAGCTATTTCAAAATAAGGAAGGAGGAGGGATTTCTTTTAAACTAAAAGGAATAGTCTTGAACCCCATCTGCTCAAGGTTGGGCCCAGAGAGGCCTCTGAATTCCATGCAAGGGCTGAAGCCTCAGAGAGGTGACAGTGTGGGGTACACAGTAACCTCATGCTCTGAAAATTGGGCTGTGACACGATGAGGGACAGAGGTTACTCACAAATGAGGTGAAGACTATCTTGGTAGCAGCCTGTGTGTTTTGGTTGAGGGGAACATAAGGACAAGGGCTGTTCTAACAAATATCTGAGTAGAGACTTGTCAACCTGTCCTCCACTCCCAGTTGGACTTGCCCTGGGAGAGATGGGGAAGCTGTACTAAGAGGTCAATCTTCTGCTGCCTTAGTGAATGAGCGAGCCTATAAGTAAAGAGGTAGTAATATTCTCACTCAGCCCATGGGGATTCTGTGCACACGATCCTTTTTGGTGAGGACCCCAGAATCTGCCTGAGTTGGGTTATACAGAGGGCTTAATAAGACACTGTGAGCAAGGCTGGGGGCCCAAGGCAGGCGCTGAGCCTCAGCGTAGCTTCTGCCTGTGGGCTGGTAGCCACAGGTCACCTGTTCCAGCCACACCTGGTTCAAAGTCCTATTGCTACACCCTTGTGCTGGAGTCTGCATGATAAAAATTTCAAATTCTATTAAGGCCAAAGTAGGATTCACAGCATAAGAACTATCCAAGATGTGCAGGGGGTGTTTGGAAGATCAGAGGCAGCTATAAACAACACTGTAATGGAAAGAAAGGAAGGCTACTTATGTTTTACTACACATATTTCTAAATTCCATTAATAATGGCATCTCTTAGATTTTTACCGTCAGTATACAATGTGTCCTCTATGGATGAAGATGACCTGGTCTCTCCTCTGATATTCCTGTTACTTGGTCAGGGTTTGTAGACTGCACTAGCAGGAACCTCTGCAAAATGTGGCACAGGGAGTCTGAGCACAGCATGCCTTCATATATACTGTGAACAGGATTTGTTACTGGGTTTGAACACATATCTTTATTCAGTTTACATTTTATGTTTATTTGTATTTCTTTTTTTTTTTTGTCTTTTTCCTTTTTATCGGTACCAGGGATCGAACTCACAACTGCCTGCTTACAAGGCAGGCGCTTATGCCGCTGAGCTAAATCCCCAGCCCCTATTTGTATTTCAATTAGATTTTTCAAATTTGGAATGGGTAATTAATTGAAAAAAATGCCTTTTCATTCATTTCATATCTATTGATATAACCACATATTTTCCCCACTTAATGAATAGCTGATAAGTGAATTTCATTATTAGATTTCCAAACAGTGAGCCACTTTGGCTTCTCACATATGATTCTGTTAAGCCACTGCTGTATTTAAACAGTGGTATTTGGTTAAGATGTTTGTGCCCCGAGACTTTGGCATCATCTTCAGACAGATTTGCCTGCCATTCTCCTTTGACATCCTCCTCAGAGTGTGGGCAGCTTTTCCAGACCAAGGTGGCTCCCACTTCCCATGCTGCAGAGAAGCAGGTCTCTTTGCGCAGAGCCATGGATCTGGTGAAATCCTCCCTCCCTGGCGTCCTCCTTTCCATGCTCTTGAGTCCCACTTTCTTCTTGCCTGCTGGGAGCTGGGACCTGGCCATAGTGTTAGGGCTCCTGGCTGCTTGGGCATCTTCTCAAATGCCAACTGGTGTCAGGATTTCCCAAATGCTTCTTGCACCCAGAAATCTTGATTTAAAGTGTCCATTGTTGGCTCCAGAAATCTGTACCATCCATA